TAATATTATAATATTAGATCGAATTGATTCAGTTTTTATAACAAGCAAATTACCCATATTAGGATTTATATAACGAGTTTTCGGAGTTTCGAAACTCACAGAAGAGTATTTTTATTCACGGACAGGACGTTGATATCTTTCAAAGTAAACATAATTTGTTTCCAAATTTGACTATAACAATGGCGCTACTAAAACCTCTTTGGTCTGGGCCTCATTTGATATCTTTATCTGTTCCGTGATCATTGGTAATAGGCAAGTAGGTGATCAACCTTTGTTGTCGGACCGTCGACTATTTGGGTTTAAGGTACCTAAGCCGGTTTTCTTAGAATGGTTTTCTTCACCGTATGAGCGAGTGTAAAATATAGACAGAAAGTCCAAGTCCAGAATCTACCTCGACCCCAGGGATGAGAATCGCACGTTGAAACCACTAGGCCAACACTGCTTATGTCGAAACTATTTTCATCCTGCAGAAGAGGCCTATTCGTGCAATCTATAATTTAAAATGTAGGGAATCTCAGAGAGATAAATTCAAGGAAATTATTATACCTTTCCCTGGCAATATATTTATGAAAATATTATGTTTGTATATAAAAATAGTGATAAGTTTACTAGAATAGAACATACGAACAATGTTAATACTTGGAACAAACGCAGGCTGCAATTTCCCCGTACTAGACTATCTAAAGTTAGTAATTCCTTTTTGGGAAAAGGGATACTCTTCTTTAATAAAATTCCAGAGGCTCTTTTATCTCTGCTTTTTAATAAATTTATAAAATGTATTTAAGAAAAGCTGTGTAAAAAGGCTTTAATAAAGTTAACGATTATCTAGTTGATATAAGGGCCTGGGACTAGTGCTAGACAGGCTACTTCTAATTAATTTGCGATATTTGTTTTAAAATAAGTGTTGTTTGATGATTTGCTATTTTAAAAGAGTACCGAGAGTTTTTTACGCCGGCTTTTTCTCCCGGCCTACACTCTCTGTCTTCTTTGCCGATGAGTAGGGATGTCTATCGATTCAAATTTAATGGCGTGGAATAAGTGATATCTGTATCTTAGGTTCCATAATAAACATATTTTATTTAATTTTTTTATATTTTGACTGACAGTCGTGAATCAAGTCTACATTCAGCAAGTGGTGTCTTACTAGTCGTCCAACAGTGGTGGTCCAACGTTGGACCTTACACTTAAATCTGTGTAAATGTGGAATCCACCATAACCTGATAATATTTAACTCAGGGTGCTCTTGTAGCTTCTCCAAAGACATCTTAAAGTGCTCTAAGTGGTTTATGTACCTATGTGAGTGGTATGTTGGCAACTCTTTTTGAGATACAACTGGAGAAAAGTAGATGCCACAATAATCTTTTTTATCTTAGCTTATCTACTGTTTATTTATTTCGGATTCTGATCATTTTTATTGTGTAATATATGTATAGTTGTAAAAAAAAAAATGTGAAAGTGTATATATTTTTTAATTAAAAAATGAATTTATTAAATCATATTTTACCATCAATTATATCATAAGAAATAACACCGAGCACCTTTGCGAGCGAATCTGGATTGTAAAAATCTAATCTAAATTCGCACCGTGACACAAAATTATCAGCATGAAGTTGCCCACGGAACTTCATTCTGTTAATGGGCATAGGACATAATTTAAAAACAACATTTGAATAATAATAGAATTTATGTTACACTTAATGTAAGAGAATAATAATAAATATTTATTTATTTAATTTTTCAAATGTAAGCTGTTAATTATTGTAATTAATTATTTACATGCAATCAAAAACTATTTTTAATAATGCCAAAGAAGTATAACTTCTTACGCGCGTACATAAGTACACGCACCCTTTTTTTATTATTATTATGTAGGTAAAAAATTGTAAATACTGTATATTTGATTGTTATGTTTAGGCTTTATTTAAATAAATATATAATCATTATATAATATGTTGTTTACGCAACAAACAAAGTTAGAATTGTTAATTAATAGTCTTGCTGATTGCCCTAATTTTCCCTTCCGTAGTGGATAAAAATAAAGCCGAAATATTACTTATTTTGATTGTTGAAGTTTCGACGCTACCAAAACAGCCGCTGTATCGTAATTAAATTAATTCCATTGAATTTTTGGAATTCAAATGTTACAAATACATGGTTTGAGAATATGCTATAAAATGTATTAAATAAATAAAATCTGAACTGGAGTACAAAAATTTCATAGTAAGTTTCAGCCTGTTGACGTCCACTGCTGGACACTGGTCCACTCTTCCCTAAATTTCCGTTTCCACGCACTCTGCATCCAACGCCTTCTCTCCACCCTCACCAGGTCATCTGTCCTAGTGGGAGACCGTCCAACGCTTAGACTGGTCCTTGTCGCCATCCGTTCTTCTACGTGCCCTGCCCATTGTCATTTAAGCTTACGCCCATTTTGCTAAATCAGTAACATGAGTTCTTCTCCGGATCTCTTCATTTCTAATTCGCGTAGAGAAACACTGAGCATAGCTCTCTCTGTAGATCGTTGAGGAGCTTGTGTATCAGGCTTAAAGTACGGTCATATCTCAGAGCCGTATGTCATCACTAGTTCTGACTATTCGAAGAATTTTGGAGCATTGAGGCTGAAATAGCTGAAAAGCCACTATAAATTTATTGAATGCTGCTTAAGGCGAACTCTTCGATTTCCTTGAAATTGGATCTACCTAATTTAGTATTGAAGGTAAACGTATCCACTACCTCGAGAATTGAGTTTCCCAATGTTACTGGTGTAGTGCCTTATCCATGTTCATTTAATTGATTTGTATGTATTTTTATGCTGTATCATAAAAAGTAGGTACCTAAAAACAAAAAACATTGTGTGAAAAATTAAAAATAACAATTTAGGGAATGGATGATGTCCGATTCGCAGATCTAACCGATATGCACTCACTTTTACGAAAATCGGTCGAGCCATTTCGGAGGAGTTTAATTGTGACACGAGAATTTTATATATTATATCACCTTAGTAACGGTTGTTTTTAATTTTTTGATGTTCTTTTGAAAACTCTTGTAGAAATCTCTTGTACGAAATATTGTTCGCGTTATTATAAATTATTTCTTTATTGTTTATGATCTTATTAAATAATTATCCTACTGGACAGTAAAAACATTCCACGTCAAGTGTATACACAAGATATATAGGTCGGTTATCGAAAGCTGGCGCGTAAGATGAAAGATGTTTAAAAATATGACTTTTTGCCAAGCTATATATTTTAGTCTACTCTGGTTTTAGTAAGGTTGGGTGGGTTGTAAATAAATAAAAATGTGTCAAATACATATAAATATTATGTGCATACGAAGGTGGATCCAAAAGTTCTAAGCCCGACCAAGAACGTAAAAGAGTAGTTTGTGTAAATAATTTTTCATTTTTCGACATAAGCTCCATCTAGCTCAACACACTTCGCTTTTACTTCACTAACAATTCTTTCAATACTCCTCTTAGAAACCCCAGTCGCATCTGATGTCAAATTAAAAATTACATTTTTTCATTAAACCGTTTTTATTAAGATGCTTAATATAATTAAAAACATTGTGCACCATTTCACGAGATTGTCCTGGTAATGTTTAGACGGAATATATTTCATAAGACATTCTTTCAAAGTATTCTAACCTCCAGGCTCCAACCAATTAATAAGTTAACAATCACAGACAAAATAATAATGAGAAAAAAGATCAATATGTACAATGGGCGTGTTTGGCCGAAGTAAGTACTTACTAAACTTAGTAAGCCAGTAAGCATAAAAAAATTAAAGTCTTACAAGCTGACTGTAGCGCTTTTCGGCCAGGACAGACTTACTGGCTTATTAACATAACACAAAACACCGGTTTATGTCATATCCCGTACATAACCTCATAGACTGAATATAATTGACAGTACTAAATTTAGGAATATAATTTAATACCTGTGAATAGTTTCAAATGGATAATTTTATGAGAAATATTTTATTGGATATTTTATTGTCCGTTTTGTTTACATCAACAATAAGCAAAATGGCGTCGTATATTAAGCCATACTTACTGCGTTAGCACTTATTTTGTGTCCCGGCCGAAAATTTTGTAAGCATAGTAAGTGACTTACTAAATTTAGTAAGTACTTACTTCGGCCAAACACGCCCAATATCTGTTATTCAGTTTGACATAACGCCTCGCGCTTATTCACAGAGACTACATAAGCACAAAGTGTAAATGTGTTGAAGCCGCCAGCTTTAGATATCATACCAATACAAGAACTAGGTCGTTAACTTGTATAATGTAGATTGTAAGGAAACTAGTAGCAACAAGTAAGTTCTGGACATTATTATAATTTTGATGGTTCAATAATTTAAGATTACAAAATAGCAGCATGACTAAATTTCGGAAATCGTAACCACATAATATTTTATAGAGATCATTCAAACTGTTGATCACAGATTAAATATAGAGCATATGTATAGTTTTGAACGTAACATGTTAATTGTCATCTGTTTTTGACATAACAGTTTGAAATGATAATATTGAAAAATGAAAACTTACAATTAACTTATGACATGTGAATGTTGATTTCGATCAAAAATAAAGTGTGGATTTTATAAGCAATATCAACTTAATTATTTTTTTGTATATAAAATATGCTCAACTCCTAACATTATTGTATCATAAATTTATTTAGGTAACTAAATACTTTGTACAATATATACAATTGTTAGAACTAGTTATACTCTGGTTCGCGCTTTAGTGTTTTTTATGTAAAAACCTAAAAAAACGTTTCTTTTTGACGTCTGATGAATTATGTCTGTGTTTTTTAACATACAACGTATTGATTAACATTTTTCCCTACATTCTTCGTAAGTCAAAGGCCTAGAACTAGAATATTTGTATATTCTAAAGTTTACTTGTTTTGTAAACAAACTTAAATTAAAGCATAAGTATTTTATGCATCAAAATCTCTAGGAGTTTTTTCTACAATTACAAAATTATTACAGGCTAAAATGGTGGAACCAGCAGTTTCTGATGTGGATCCGTTGGGAGCCTTCTCTTACCTGTCTCAGTACCACTATGGTCAGTTTCCAAACACAATTAACCCAACATATCAGTTTGCTGTTAAACCAGAAGAATTCTACACATTACCTCCAAGTAGTACTTCTAATAACACCAACTATGAAAATACAACTCCCACAGCTCATATACAAAGTGAGAAACAACAAGATCCAAGTGTAAACTTTGATATAAAACCTTTTTTAAAAACCAATGGCAAAGTTAAAAAAGAGAAAAAGAGTTTTATTTCTCAAAAGATTACCCAAGAAGGATATCCATTCTATGGCTGTGCTGTTTGTAATATAAGTTTTCCGACACTTAGAGAATTAGATTCACATGTTGCAACACACAAGGGTAGAACAACAAGTTACGATTTAAGAGTGAAGAATGCATTGAAAAAGAAAAGATTAAAAAAGGAACAGAAAAAATTAAAGAAAATGAAAAAGGAGACAGTGCCTGATATTGATATTAAACCTGAAGATGGTTATATTGGTAACGAGAAAGCGACAGAATTTGGTTTGAACAACAATGATGTGAAAAACAAAAGTAATCCAGAAGAACTAAAAACCCAAGAAAAGGCAACAGAATCCACAAATTTAGAAAAGATTTATAAATGTTTTGCCTGTCAGAAACAGTTTATATTAAGTTATTATTTGAAGTTACATGTTAGATCACATACAGGTAAGACAGAAATGTATTTATTAGAATCTGTGCTTGTATATCTGTAGAACTAATCATAATATCACATTACGCCTAGAGTGCCAACTAACATAATATGCATGCTATAGAGTCTACAATTGCCCTAATAACTGCTATAGTTTAGTACTGTGAACAAAAATCATTATTTAATAATTGCTTGTATGTTTTCTGTACTTAATACTAAACAATATTTTTTCTAAACACTGCAAAAATTCTTTTTAAAGTACAATGATATTTATCATAGTCACAATAATGTATACCTTTAACAGTGATCTCTTTGTGTAATTCAAGGATCAAGTATTAAAGGGACATGAAAACTTAAAGTACATTATATGAAAATTAATATTAATTGTTTAAGCCTATTACTACAAACCCATTATCTAACTATTGTAAATAATTCTCCATTTATAGATGAAAAGCCATACACCTGTGAACAATGTGGGCAATCCTTTATAACGGCTAGCAAGCTCGGGCGACACAATAAGAGGTTTCATTTATCTGTCCAATATCAGTGCAGAATTTGTTATAGAAAGTTTTACAGGTATGAATTTAAACATATTTCCAATTCCTAATGTTTTTTTGTAATATTATTTCTTTTAAGGTCAATTTTTTTTTACTGTTGTGCCATACAGTCCAAAAGCAGCCAGTATTTGCAGTATAGTGCTCTATGGACCACATCAATGTTCTCAAACACATACTAGACTTTGTTGACTAAAAAAGTTCTTAAATTTTTTTGCTAATCTATTGTTTATGGTATATAAAATTATCTGTGGCCGCGCCCGCGTTGCATATTTGGCGCCATTTATAAAATAATTCTACTTATAATTACTATATAATAAAAAATACAGATAGTAATAATATTACTAATTCCAATTGGTTTAATTACAATTGTTATAATCTATATTATTGTATATATTTATATAGTTATGTATAATGTAAGTTTTATACAGTTAGTGACATATTTCAGATTTGAAATCCTAACGCGACATTTTGATAAAAAACACGCTGAAGACAAATTAGAAGGTGAACCATATGGTATGTGAAAAAGTTATTATTGCAAATTAGACATATTTTAAAATGAACTCAAGTGTCTAAAGGCGAGATTTTAATCTGCGTCATCATAACACCTGACTTTATCATGGTGCTCTATGGTTTATGGTATGTGAGAGATCTGTTAATTTGTGGTCATTGAGGTATCTACTCCAAAAAAAAAAAAAAAAAAATGAAGTGTTCAATTTAATGTATGTTGACAGCATTTACCAACCTTCGGTCTCTTCTTCTGTCTGTTTTCTTAATGATCAATGAAACGGGTGCAATCTGAAGCCAAGCCCTATGGGGTTGTAGCGCCACTGTATTATTATTATTAATCAATGCTGTGACGTCGTAGTTGTAAGTATTAAACACTGATTCATATAATTTTCAGATTTCAATGCAATATTACCATACTTAAAAGAATTAGAAGAACAACTACGCGAAAAACAAGAAATGGAGAAATCTAAGTCGAAAGATGATTTATGGTCTAGCGAATGGCCAAGTCCGACAGTAGAAAACGAGAAAGAAGATATTAAAGAGAGTAAAAAAGAAGTAGAAGATACAAATTTAGAAATAGAAGTTGTTAAAGTGCCTATGGATGATGTTGAAATTAAAGAAGAAATTGAGGATGTTGATTATAATTATGATGATGCGGTTAATGATAATGGAATTAATGGTGATACAAATAATGATGTGAATGAGGCTAATGATAATGATAGAGACGACGCAAGTGTAAATAATGAGTAAGTAATAATAATTTTTGACACTATGAGCCCTTAAAACAAAATTATTATGATGTGGGGTCACTCTGCATCTTCTACCGCATTTACCATGGAGAGTGTTCAGAGGATCTGTTCGGATTAATATCTGCAGCTGAGTTTCATCAAGGCAGTTTTTGCCGCGCACCACACCATGTGGGACCAGCTGCCCACTGAAGTATTTCCGAACCAATTCGACTTAGGGTCCTTCAAGAAAAGAGCGTACCAATTCTTTAAAGACCGGCAACGCACTCGTGAGTCCTCTGGCATTGAGAGTGCCCATGGGCGGCAGTATCACTTAACATTCGGTCCGTTTGCCCAATGTTCTATAAAAAAAAATATAACATTATTTACCTGCGAAAATGCTTGGACACCCCAAAACTACTTAACAGATTTTTATGAAACTTGATTATATGTATGAAGAAAAACACTCTGAGGAAATCGGCCTTACACCCAAAAAGACGGTGTGTGTACAGAGCATATCACCTATTTGGGGAACGTTCAAGTATTACGTAACGAATTTTTTCCTTTTGTACTTTACACCCCATAATGGTAACTTTTAGGTATAAAGAATCAGTAGGTAGTCACGAAACGTTTTACTACACTTGGGTACAGAAAAACGTTACGGCGCGTTACATGGGGGGGGGGTCCATTGATCTCAAAAAATGACGGGGTTGAACGCTCCCTTGCCTGTTTGAAAAATGATAATGAAACAGATTCATAAATCTGTGGAACCACTGGTTTGTGGGTTGTAGCGCCACAGGTTCATGTTAAGAAACATTGACAAGTATTTTTAATAGATTTTTATTCTTTTATTACATTACAGCGATTCAGACGAGGATTATTTCCCATCAAACACTTGGTTGAAACCAGAGGAGCCATTAGAAATAACAACGAACGGCGTCAAGTGTCCCGTGTGCGATAAAAGTCTTAGTACGGCGTCGTACATGCGCGTGCACATGCGTACGCACACGGGCGAACGTCCGTTCAAATGCTATATATGTGATATGGGGTTCATAACGGCGAGCAAAATGCACAGGCACGTTTTGACGCATCCGGAATCGTTGAAAGGTAGGACGGATTGTTTGTTTAAATTCTAATTAAAAAAAGTGCGTGCGTATAAAGTACAGATGTCAGAAGTGAAACTTCTTTGTAAATAAATTATTACTAAGGTAAAAGCCCCAATAGATGATCATGTACCAGTATATGATCACTCCATGTATTTGTATATCTATATTCACATTGTTTATACACTGTATATGTGCTAATGATAATATAGATAAATAAAAAAATGCGTTTAAACAAGACGTTATGCGACAGAATTGCCATCTAAAGTTCTAATATGTAACTAAACGAATTCATCAACCAATAGCGTGTATTTTTTCTCGATCTCCCTTTCTCTCTCAATCTTTCTCACTATAGCTCTCTCTCACCTCTCGCTCCATGGCAATGTGCGTGATGCGACGTTCGCTCTATCTCACACTCTCTCTCGATCTTTCTCACTTGCTTGCTCCCTATTCCCGCTCCATGGCTATTTGCTTCATGCTACGTTCGCCCTCTCTCTCTCGATCGGTCTCAATCGCTCTCTTCCTTTTCTTCGACAAAAAACGCTGCACATTTTTGTGACGTTCCGTAAAAATTTTACCCTCATGCGCCTGAAGAAGTTTCACTTCAAAAAGGTAAGATTCAGAGACATGAAACAGCTGGAATAACACAGACTGACACAGGTATTTTTACTTAGAATGGCTCCCAAATCTTACACATTATAATGCATTGTGTATAGTGATTAAACACATTTTTTTTATAAGACGGTCATAGTTGAACTCAAGTTTTTGTTTTGTCTAACTTAGCGAAGTATAATTACTTAGTAAATTCTAATAAATTTGCTTCTTAATTAATAAACCAGTCTGTCTATTGTTTTTGGTATGTTACTACTACTACTAATCTGTGAAGCAACAATATCATCTGAAATTGTAAGAAACATTAATTTGAGAGAGAGAGAGAGAGAAAAAGACCAGTTTTTTTTTAAAGCAAAGTAATTTTAATTTATTCAACTTAGCGAAGTATTTCAAAGTTTTATATACAATAGTTTTAGTACACAGTAGGCCAAAGACCCGTCTTGTTTCACAGTTGTAAGACTGCCAAATTATAAAATCTATGAAGCGACTCTCATCCCTGAGGTCGTAGGTTCGATCCCCGGCTGTGCACCAATGGACTTCTTTCTATGTGCGCATTTAACATTCGCTCGTACGAAGGAAAAACATCGTGAGGAAACCTTTAAACCCAAAAAGTCGAGGGCGTCAGGCACAGAAGGCTGATCACCTACTTGCCTATTAGATTAACAAATAATCATGAACAGAAACAGAAATCTGAGGCCCAGACCTAAAAAGGTTGTAGCGCCATTGGTTTATTTTTTATGAATGCGTTTGGTCACGTGATTATTTCCTTACTGGAGTTTTGAATTTTTGTAACATACTTTTCAGATGAAGTCAAATCGGAAAATGATGCGAAAAACGTAAAGGATGATGAGGATAAGTGAGTATTGACTTCTTTTCATGTGTGTTGTGTGTGTTTAATACCTCAGCTAAAGGCCCATTTAAGTATTACGTACGCACGTAAAAACTATAGGGGAGGGGGGGGGGTTGGTCTCAAAGACCTTACATTATTTGGTGATAACGTCAACAGTAATTATTTACTTTTTTACACATATTACCCACACATTGTCTATGCTCGTAAAACGAAATGCATTTTCGACAATTTCCTACAAAAAATTAATACCTTTTTGAGAGCTTTGCTTGCTTTTGCTGACAAGAGGGGGGGATTAATTCCGTAAATCTGCTTTCGTAATACTTGAACGACCCCTAAGACACTTCTCCGGCCACTTTCATGTACATTGAAAGTAAATAATCGATCAGGCACAGAAGGCATAATAATTTTGGGTCTTATGCCGATGTACTTACGATGTTCTCACTGTATGAACGAGCGTAACATGCACACATAGACAGAAAGTCCATTGGTGTACAGTGATTCGTACCTGCTACCTCAAGGACAAGGGCTGCCACTTATTATATTTTGACCATAGACTAAGTGTATAGTGTGAACCGTGAGATATAAACATTTATTGCCATTTTAAGTTCGACTCTGCTTAAAACACGAACACTGTCTCTGTTTTCTAACCGACTTTAAAACGGAGGTAGTTCTGACAGCTATGAAAGTAAATGTTAATTTATTTCAGAGAGAAAGTGAAAAAGGCTGTCAAGAAATTATCGAAGAAAATCAACGACAAGTCGAAGAAATATCGGAAGAGGCCGCACGCGTGTGAATATTGTCATAAGAGATTTTTGCATCTTCATACATTACAGGTAATGCCTACCGATACTGCTATCGGTATAAAAAGGCCGGCAACACACCCACTAAAATGAGTATCCATTGGGCTGCGATGACTGGCTTTTTTGCCCTATATTAAAACATGGTAATTGGTAGTAGATAGGAAATTAAGGGTTAAATAAATAAAAAGGGTACGTGCACGTATGTACGCGCGTAAGAAGTTATACTTCTTTGGCATTATTAAAAATAGTCTTTGATTGCATGCAAATAATTTATTACAATTAAAAAATCAAAGATAACGAGTCATTATAGTCAATAAAGTTCAGTTTAAATTTGAAAAATTAAATAAATAAATATTTATTATTATTCTCTTACATTAAGTGTAACAAATTCTATTATTATTCGAATGTTGTTTTTAAATTATTTCCAATGCCGTAGCATCGTCCGTGGTCAACTTCATTCTGTTAATTTTGTGTCACGGTGCGCGATCGTAAAATTTCACTCTCATCAATTTTTCATAACGCGCCTAAAGAAGTATAACATCAAAAATAGAAGGGACATATGTCCCATATCACTTAGGGGGTAAAATAATTTACGAAATTCCTATCAAAAATATACAAAATTTTATACAATTCGTTCGAGCCATTTTGAAATTCGATTACAAACATTGTCACACGTCAATTTCATCTGGTATCATCTTGGCGTTCCTTTATGGGACACCCTGTATAGGTCAACCGGAAACTTTATCAGAAGTTGATATAACAAAAAAAATAAACCAGTGGCGCTACAACCTTTTTAGGTTTAGGCCTCAGATTCTGTCTGATTCTGTTGTTTGTAGGTGATCAGCCAAAAAAAAAACATTTTCGGTTATAAATGGTGTAATCCGACTTTACCGAATGTAAGTTTTTGAAAATTTGCCTAAAAAATTCATTATGTATATTTATTTATAAATTATACTAACAATACCTGAAAAACTTGTGACTACTTCAAATACATGTCAAAGAATAATATCTCATCTCAAAAACTAATGAACCGATTTTGATGATATCGTGGAATTTACGTTAAATTTTATACTGTATATAACAATTTCAGATCCATAAAAAATCCCATGAAGGCGAAGAAATTAAATATAGATGCCACTACTGTCTTCTAGAAGTTGAGGATGAAGAGAATCTAAAGGTTCACGAAGGGAGCCATACAGGACCAAAGCCCTACCAATGTACTATATGTGATAAGTTGTATAAAAAGAGAGAGAGTATGGTGAGTAAAACTAAAAATATTTATATTTTTGAAATTATTTTGATCAATAACGGTATTTTGAGTCAGTCTAATTGTATCACTCCCTCGTCTCATCTCTTTTCATCATAGAAAGAGACGAAAACGTTTTCATCATAGCGTAAAACTTTAACAGAAAGAGACAAGAAAGTTGAAATGAATAAGTTTCATCTGTCTCTTTTTAGCATAGCGTAAACCAATTTATCAGAAAGAGACGAGAAAGTTGAACTGATTTTGTTTTATATGTACCTTTTCAACATAGCGTAAACCAACTAACAGAAAGAGAAGAATAACTTCTACGTACACACAGGAACGTACGGGACGTTAAATTAACGAGCACCCGTCCGTACAGTCGAGGCTCGTGATAGCTAATAATGTTTAAAATTTCAGCTTTATCATAGAAAAAACCACAAGCCCGAACGGGAATTCATATGCGATATATGCACGAAATCTTTTAACGCACAGTGCAAACTGCAAAGGCATATAATAAGTCATAGTGTGGACAAATATATGTTGAAGTACGAGTGCCCTGTCTGTGCGCATATGTTTAATACAAAATATCACGTGCAGATGCATTTGTCCACACATCAGAGGGAGGGAGTGTGAGTATTGTTATTTTAGTTTAAAATATATATTTTTGAATAATAGACGAAGGTTTTTAAAATATATTATTTATTGGATGACCTTGAATTATATTGAATCTGTCAATATATCGCTTGCTCGGAACTCAGTTTACTAACTTTCTAGCATACTAGTTTTTAATTCCGTAGAATTCTGACAGCTATCATTTTTTGACATGTCAGAGATTACAAACCTTTTTGGCCGGGCGTATTTTTCTGAGTCTGAACATCTGAGTTAATACACGTTTAACGACACGATAATCGCTTTTTATCACAAACAGTAAAAACGCACAAGTAAACATAAATATAAGATAACCTTTAAAAAAAATACAAAGTGAAGATAACATTGTATAAATTTAAAAGGTTCACTAAACCTGGAACTGGTAGGCAGTGATGCCAGCTAAAGAAACAAATAAAGTAATTAAAGTTAATTCGATATACTGTTCGTGATATTGAAATATTTGTTATTTTTGTATAAGGTAACTTAAGTAAATATTTAGTAGGTAAAATATAATTGTTTTTAGCATTTTATTGTTATTGACCCTCAAACGGGTCAAATTTGTCCCCTTTTCGGTGGATGTCAGAATTCTACGGAATGAAAAATCAGAGTTTAAGCACATTACATATCAGCTGCTTGTGTGACAAAGTTTATTCAATAATAGGATACAAGAGGAAAATCGCAACGAAATCCTGGCTATGGTCTTACAAAACGCGCGTAGAATTCCCCGCAAGGGCGAGACCCACAACTTGACTGACGTCATACCGTCGGACGAGCGAAGCCGCGTGTGCAACATATGCGGCGAGGTGTTCCAGCACTTCTATTACCTCGAGGAACACCTCAAATCCCACGGCTCGAAGATCGCGATAGAGAACATCGACAAAGAGGAGGAGAAGAAATATATTTGTGAAGTTTGTAATAAAGGTTTTAAATTGCATTATTATTTGAAATTGCATAGCTTTACCCACACAAAGGAGAAGCCATTCATTTGCCAGCAGTGCGGGAAGGGATTCATCACCAGAGGGAAGCTGAAGAGGCATTTGGAGACCCATACGGGTCTAAAGAAATACCAATGCCATATTTGTTGTAAGTTTTTTACGCGGCCTAGTTATTTAAGGGTTCATGTGAGGACTATACATGGTGCTCAGTTGGTGAGGTTGGGGCTTAGGACGTAAAATTGAATTTGAGTGAGTACTTCTCAAGATTTGAGGTACGGTGGAAGGAAATTTTAATTCTTATTCACAAAATTTTACTTTCTTTTTGCATTTTATATCAAAATTAGTGTTGGACTACGTGTTAGGGCCGATTTACATTATCTTAGTGTTCAGGAGAGTGCTTTAGGATAGTTCTTTAGTTGAAACATGTAAACGCTACTTGCTTTAGTACGGTTCTACTTGACTTTCAAGTTGAATCAAAATAGAATCGCTTTTTATTTTTGTTTCAAGTGATACCCCTCCCGCGCCCGCGCAACCCCTCGTTGTGTGTAAACACGGAATTTAGTCAAATCTTTAGGAGAGTGCACAAGTGCCGTGAAACGCGTGCGTGTTTTTAGATTTTTAAAGATGGCTAAATGGTCGAAAGATACAACTATCAAATTTGTGTCTGAATATGTTGTTTACGAATGTTTGTGGAACGTTAAAAACAATTTATACAAAAACAAACAGGCTAGGCATTCGGCATACACTGCCTTAAAAGAAGCTATTTTGTTTATTATTTATATTTAGTTTATTTATTTCGAATAAAATCTCGTCTTCTATATGTTTCATAACTACAGTTAGTATTTTCGTATGTTCGTAGAATAGATTGTATTTGCCGACGTCGTTGCGCGTTCATTGTGGCGCTGTAATGATACTCTACTGGAAGAAATGTAAACGTTCACTCGCAACGCACTAAAGCACTAAAGAACTTGCCTTTCAAGTTGTACTAAAGCACTCTCCTAAACACTAAGATAATGTAAATCGGCCTTTACGTGGTAAGTGTTACGTTAGTACTATAGGGGAGGGGGGACGGGGGGACGGAGGTTGTCTTTGGTGATTACGTCAACACATATTACCCACACATGTATTTTCGAGGATTCCTACAAAAAATAATAAGTTTATGTACTTTTATTTTTGAGAGCTTTGCTTACTTTGCTGACAAGAGGAAGGGGGGGGGGAGTAAATCTTCTTACGTAATACTTATCAGTATACAAACATGGCAAGCTTTCTACACAGACTATGTCAGACTTTGAGTTTGAAGTTTGTGACGTTCATAGACTGTACCACTCACTTAGATAAGTTTAGGTACGATTTTTTTATGGACACACAATGGAATTGAAAAATTATCAATTAAAAGATCATAAAGAAATTTATACAATGTTTTAACAGATAAAAAATGTAAATTTTATTTAAAATTATGTACATTGCGGGTACTAGGTTACGGTGGCGGTATTGTATCATTAAACTTACGAATGGCCGTCGTGAACGATGACTTTGACAAAGAATTAAAGGGTTTTTTTAATACAGAACTGGCAAACGGGCAGGAGGCTCATCTGATGTTCAGTGATACCGTCCATGGACACTCAATGCCAGCATCCGTTTGCCCATGTTCTATAAAAATAGGGTGCGTGTACTTATTTACGCGCGTAAGAAGTTATACTTCTTTATCATTATTAAAAATAATGAATTAAAATTAAATAATCAAAGACTGGCAAAGGAGTCATTATAGTCATAATTAAGTAAATAAATATGTATTCTCTTACATTAAGTGTAACATAAATTCTATTATTATTCGAATTTTGTTTTTAAATTATGTCCAATGCCGTAGCATCTTCCGTGGGCAACTTCATTCTGTTTATTTTGTGTCACGGTGCGCGCGCATCGTACAATTTCACTCTCATCAATATGTCATAACGCGCCTAAAGAAGTATAACTTCATAAAAATGAAAACCGTTTTCTAAATTTCAAACCTAGTGTTTATTCGCGTTCAAATAAGTGATAGTGTCAAACTTGGTATGTTAGATATGCTGAGAGAATGACCCGCATGTCAAAATTGAGTTTGACATTCGGGTGTCATACTACTATGGCCTATTATTATGACGGGTATACGTAAGTCGAATGAGTACTGTGTGATTAGTTTATGACACCTTATTATAATTGATAGCAATAATTATTTTTAGATTTCGTCACTTTGTTGATATTTGTATAAAGCGAATAAAATATTAAGTTTTTAATCTGTGTTTTATTTTCATAGCTATTTCTTTATTTAACTGTTTATTGAGACTTTGACTTGACTAAAGGTCCTAGGCTAATGAAAGAAGATAATTGAATTATTTGTAAACTTTCGGATGGCAACACAGAATGTCATTGAATTTCTTAGGTTACAATAAGCCTTGATTCTTCATGCAATTACTCATTTTTATTTCTATTATATATTTTTTTCCGAATAGTTAACAGGTATAATAGCCTAAACTTTGTTTTATTTGATAGAATGTTTCGTTTCTTTCGCAGGATTTGATTATTCCGAATAGAGTTGTGTTTTATAATAAACATAGTTTTAGTTTTCCATGCAATTCTAGTCATTTTAAGTATCAATAGTAAAAGACTAAATACGTATAGTATTAAATTTCATAGAAATACAGTTACTATCTATGTAAAAAATAATAAAATAAAATCAAGTCTCAAGTAAGTTTAATCCACAAACTATATCAAACGTTTAGGTTTAACCATACTAAAAAAATTTGAATTTGCCGCGCTTTTTCGTTATCTTCTTTCATTAGCTCAGACTCTATAACCCTTAATTGGGTCGGAGGGCGTCCACAGTCTCCATTGCGTTCGGTCTTGAGCCTCGTATTTCACCATTTATTATCGAGTCCAAGACTCAAAGACCCGGTGTCTTTCCGGCTCTCTTCGCCTCATCTGCAGTACGAAGCCAGGTTTGCTTGGGACGACCACGCTTGAGGGTTCCCATCAAATGCCTGCTTTGGGATATAACTGGAATATCTTCGCTTGATGAATGAGAGCTTAAAAAATACATATTTTAAATTAAAAATATAGCCAAAATTACACCAAACGACGGTCATTTAATACAAAAGCAATGTACTAATTTGCTTGTTCATGTGTTTATTTGCTTAAAAATACACGTTAGAAATAATATAAAGCCGGCTCCAAACTCTCGCATTTCGCCTTCACCATCGCCAAGAATATTGGCGAGTCCAGACTCAAGGCTGCACCAGTGGTGCCAGTGGTTACTCTGAGGCGCATGCGCATAGTGCTCTCGCGCTCATACTCATAGTTGAATAATTTTTATGTTTAGGGGATGTTTGGTCATTACAATTTGTCTGACTGATTAAATATAACTTTGTAATATTTATTTGAATAACATATATAAAAATCAGTCATTCAAATTTAACTTAAGTAACTCTGATTTTTAGTTACCTTTCTCACCTGGTACCTACAGGTACCTACAGGTATTAAAAAGTACACGAGAGACTACTTAGAACCGATCTTACTCTATATGTTTAAAAGATTGAACTAAGACATATGCCAAAAACCTATTTGACATGATTGTCTGAACGTCAATTAAGGCAGTTTATAAGGGTGCTTCAAGAAAAGACCGTACCAATTCTCAAAAGCACCAACCCTCTGGCATTGAGAGTGTCCATGGCGGTATCACTTAACATCGGATGAGCCTCCTGTCAGTTAACCGCCTGTTATATATACAAAAAATATATGATAACAGTTGCTTAATGAAGTAATTCCGTTATTATTCCATAATGTTATGTTAGTTATAAGCTAATATTTTAAACGAACGACACTCAGCTTCAAACAAGAGTTTCATTTATTTCCACCATCCCACAAACAACGGCCAAAATAAAATAAATAGAAACATATACCTCATTAAGTAACATATATCAATATGTTCATTAATGTTATTAAGTTGTAAGTCCGAGATAGCCTATTCACTATAGTTTTATGTAAAATTGACTGAAATATATTATTCTTCGGGAGGTCGCAAAAATCTTTCTACCTGGTAAAGCCTAATTTCAAATCACAACAACTAGTGTACAAATGAGTTGTATATAACAATACCTCTCAAAGGTCTTACAGCGCATATAAACATGACTTACGGAAATTTACAAGTGCTACATATCTCAACAACTTCTAATAATAATATTATATTATATAATAATTTACTTATATAATAGAATAGTTATATAAATGCATGATGCATACCTACGAGTACAATTGAACCATGAGTTTCAAAGGCAAGGTTGTGCTAATAACTGGTGCCAGCTCCGGTATTGGAGCCGCGACGGCTATTGAATTCGCTAAAAATGGAGCCAGCGTGGCCATCGTCGGCAGGAACGTGGAAAAATTGAACAAAGCCGCCGAAAACTGTTCCAAATATTCCAAACCGTTGGTAATCAAGGCCGACGTAGGCGACGACGAAGAATGTAAAAAAATGGTTGCATCTGTCATAAAAACATTTGGAAAACTTGATGTGTTGGTCAACAATGCTGGGATAATGCGAGATGGAACCATTATGGAAGGTAACCTCTTGGAAATTTATGATGAAATCATGAAAGTTAATGTCCGAGCGCATCTTAAGGTGACCTCCCTTGCAGCGCCATATCTGGTCAAAACTAAAGGTAATATCGTCAATATATCAAGTGTCGCCGCCTCTTTGACTCCGAAAATGAAAGGCGTGACTCCGTATTGTGTCTCAAAGGCGGCATTAAACCATTTTACACGCTGTGCGGCTGTGGAATTGGCGGGTGAAGGCGTACGAGTCAACACAGTGAGCCCTGGACCAGTTATAACCGACTTTATGGAAAACGCTGGTGTAACAGATATTAAGATGGAGAATTTTGCCGACTCTATGCCATTGAAAAGAGTATCGCAGTCTGTGGAAATTGCGGATATGATATTATTTTTGGCAAGTGACAGGGCTGTTGGCGTGACAGGAGCGGAATTTATTGTTGACAACGGCTGCAGCCTGCGTGTTTAAATAACTAGTTAAGATTTAAATTTGAATAGTTCACAACATCGATTCAAAATAAATGAAATAAAATAATAAACTTGTAAATTAATTAAAAATATTGATTTTTATACTTCAGTAACGTGTCACAAACTGATCACAGCCTAGTGGAATCCATAAATACAATGACATATTTAACTATGGCTTATATCAAATCCTAATAACTAGGAGAAAAATTCGTGAAGCGAAGTACCTTGTGCCCAGTTGGCACAAATAAAAGCCATTTAAAAAAACGTGAAAAATAATATACGTGTATTTAATTTAAGAATAATTAAGCCCGCCTAAAAAACTTTACGCCATCATGTCTACCGTTTACTACGTATGTTCTATAGTGGCTAATAAATAATCTGAAATTTTTAAATTCAGTCAAATAACTTGTTTTAACGTTAGTTTCACATAAAATATTTTTAGATTTTTATATACAGGGTGGCCAAAAAGTCGTGGATCAAACGCAAATAGGGGATAGATGAGGTCATCAGCTGCAAAAAATTGTTCTACGGGAGGTCTCTAAGCTCAACCCCTGCAGAGTTATAATTTATTTTGCGTTTTATAAGAAAATTGACTTTTTTTAAACTAATTCTTATTGAAATTCTAAAAAATCTACACAGGTATCTTTTTCATAATATCCACTAGATTAGCACTGATGACTTGATGCGTTAGACATACTATTTGAAGTTGTTTATTGAGTGTTTTGAAGATTAAGTTATATAATATACATTTTTTTCAAATCATAATTTTTTGTTTACTTCAGCCCCCACTTTAAAAAAAAAAATCTACCGAAAAGTGGCCCTGTATTACAAGTTTTGGCGCATTTAATAGGGATTCTGAAAAGGTATTTTACACATGGCCATGAGTCGCTCTTTACAAATCAAGGGCGTAGAACGGAAGAGAAGAACTGGCAATAAACTCTCCGCCACACTTTTTAATCGCCGAGTTTTTTGTTTTATAGTGCTTAAGCAAACAGAAAAAAGGTTAAATGGCCTCTATTGACTCGTGACTCAGTTTTCTGTAATATTTCTTAGTATACGTAACATGGTTTTTTCATACAGCAAGATGGAATTTCAAGGATTTGGCTCACAATTTTCTTTTGTTTATGTTTAGTTTAGTTACTGGCCCGTAAAAGCAATGATGGCCAAGTGGTTCATGTACCTTTCAACCCTGAGATCGTGTGTTTGTAAGCAATAAGCAACAATTTCTAGTAATTGTATTTTTTATGTTTTTTATTGTTTTATACTTTTTGTTACATTTATGTTCACCAAAATCTTTTATATATAAAATTACGTGTCACGTTTTTTTTTCCCCCCGGCCCCCCCCACCCCCCTCAATCAAATTTTCAGGGAGTTTGACCACAAAAGATAGGATAGCTATCTCAATTTATACCCGCATATTATTTTATGCAAAATATTTGTTGATTATTTGATAGTGCAATTCTAACAGATGGCGTGTGTTCAAAATACCAACGGTTTAAAATACCCCAAAATTAATGTAATAAAAGCGTGGTCCCGATGACTGTGTTCTCCCTACCGTTTCCCTCGTCTACAATACCTATATATACTATGTATAAATATAACAAATATTATCATATATTTTAGAAAAGATAGCTTGTAATTGTTAATATAGTATTATATAGATGTAAACTTCAATAAATAAACAGTTAGCCTATCAATATATCTGAAAAAAGATTATCGCGAAAGGACTTTTATTTTTCGAGAAATTTGTGGAAATACGATACTTTAGACGTGCTTGGAATAAATATTTTTGACTTATATTATAGGTACTTAATTTTACACCCATTTGTACCGTCGACAGACATTGGAGATCAGACAAGCATACTTATATCTTTATAAATAAGTCTTAAGCAGGCATTGTTCTACTAAATTAGTTATTGTTCTTCAGTAATGTAATAAGAATCCATTGTACGAGCGTGCACCATTGTCACCGCATACCTCACCTAAGGAGTATGACGGATGTTATAAAAACATCGATATTGACATCGATGTTATAATCGAAAACCGAATATCGATGGTCGATATTTATCGAAAACCGAACATCGATGTTGGATAACATCATAAATTCATAACATGAAATGGTTTGAAAATGATTAAGAAACAACAAATTATTACATATTTCGATATTTTTTATCAACTGACTGAATGTAAAGTAATTTTGATGAAGAAGAACCTTTTAATATATTTATTTGTTGATAAAGAGTAGTGAGGAAGTGAGAGAGAAAGAGCGAGACTACGAAGAACGAATGAAGGGAACGACTGGTGCGCAGACAGGGAAAGAATTTTAATAAACCTGATTTGTGTATGCGTTCGTTAATTATCATCGATGTCACGATATTTTTCGTATAGCATCATCATGTATTTGATGTAAAAACATCGATGTTTTTGTTTCAACATCGATGATCATCGAGCATCCCTAGTATGTAACATACTGTCGCGATGGGCAGTTGTTATCACTAAGTGTAAGGAATGTAAGGATTGTAATTTTTATTAATCCAGACGCCTGTTGACGTCCAACGAATTCAATGTCGATTGCAAACAGTTGAAACAAAAATCTAGTTTGAAACGTGCAGTTTTTCTGAACAACGCTGACAAGACAGAATTATAGGTCCATGTAAGTATCGAGTATAATATAAACATTAGATGCAGTGGCGTAACAATAGGGTGGCACGGGCCCCCGACACGTTAGGGCCCCTGCCCAAGAGATATTATGTTCTATGGATGAATGTGAAGTCTCCAATACGCATTGGGCTAGCATGGGGACTATACACCATTCCCTCTCGCCTAAGAGAGGAGGTCTATGGCCATTAGTGGGATATATACAACGTGTAATTGAGTACGCTGAAAATCTCGAAGTTTATTAAAAATCAACTGAGTAGGGACGATTTTTACTGATAGGGGCCCATTAAAAGAATTGCCACGAAAGATTTGCCTCGGGCCCCAGATGGTATTGTTACGCCACAGATTAAATGCTCATTAAAACCCTATAATTTTGTGTTTTAGGTGTCATGAACTACCTAGCGGTGAATACTCATAATTCGAAGTTAAAATCTGTAATGGCCGACTCGAAAACATTGTTCAGAGTCCCGTCATACAATGGCGACCCTATCAAATTGTATTATTATCTTAACTGTGCGAAACAATGGTTGGATTCTGTAGGAGAGACACAAGAAAATGTCATGCTACTATTAGGTAAATTAGAGGGAAAAGCGGCGATCTACGTAAGCATGACAGATCATGGCTTTAAATGGGAGCATATTGAAGAAATTTTAAAACAGGAGTGTAATAAGGAAGATAACACGTTAATAATAGAGATACTAAATCTTAAAAGACACGGATCATTCCAAGATTTAATTCGAGATTTGAAACAAAAACTCTTTTTTATTAAGAGTAAGTTATGGTACATACACAGAGATCCAATTTTAGTTGATGCCGTAATGGTTCCTTATATGAACGTGGCGCAAATCACCTTAAGGAATAGTTTGCCGTATCGTGACCAGATATATGTGAGTTTTAACAGTTTTGCGGAAACTGCATCTAAAATATTGCAGTTAGAGGCACAAGGTAGATTTGATATAAAGTCTTCACAGGCTTTAGGGTCGAATTCGAACCCATATCTGTCTAATTAGCCTCATTCCAACCGCTCTGTACAACAAAGAATAAATAATCATGCCAAATAACAATAATGTCTTTGCTCATGACTCCAGAATGTGCAGCAGCATGTTAAAATAAGACGGGAAGATTTAGACTTTGAAGACAATAAATAAATTTCAGAATTTTCCAATATTTTATTTTATGTAAGTACCCCCTTCCCCTTAACCTTTATAAAATTCCCAATAAAGCATACATATTTTTGAAAGTTAAAAAATGAGAAAATTATGGGATTTACGAAGAAAATACTGGGAAATGGTTAACAAAACATAGTACGTAAATTTTCAAAACCTTCCATATAATTTTAATAAATATTCGAATTAACAATCAAATTGCCCCCCTGTGGGACGTGGGCCCCACGTTGGGAAACATTGGTATAGAGACATAAATAAATTGCAAATCTTTATATATATAATTCTTCTGTGAGTGTGTATGTCACTGAACTTCTCTCAAACAACTGGACCGATTTTGATGAAATTTTTTGTGTGTGTTCAAGGGGATCTGGGAATGGTTTAGATTCACAAATCAGCCCGGCAGATGGCACTGCAGTCGGTACTTTCATACTTTGCTTAATATCCTAATCGCTTTAAATATCATGCAGGACAACGTCTGTGGGGTCCACTAGTACTATCTATAACTGGTAATGTAATGTAGATACAAAGTCGATAGGAACGAACAATTACTCATATTTTGCAGAGACTTTTATTATTATAATCAGAAAAGTACGTTCTAATTAATATTCCTTAAGTAAGAGCTCAAAACTATAAAATGTTTTCGATATCTCACCTATTACAAAGATTTGTTTATTTATTTACAAAAATATTTAAAAAATATATAATATTAAATACATAATTACACAATATCACTACTGTGAAGTGTGAACTCACACTGCGATCATATAAAGATGCCGACAGTCGGAGACAGAATTCAGTAGTTGCGCCTACTGTGTTATTGATAGCGGGGATCTGCAACAGACTTTAAGTAGATAGTCAACTATAAGTCCCGTCTTGTCTCTAATTTATTGTACCCCACGAATACTATTAAGTGAAAGTGTCATGTCAAACATAAATCAACCTATAAAGAGGAAAGATTTGATTGTTAGCATTGTCCAGGACTACGAAAATTTATTTCACCAGAACCCTGAAATTACGATAGTCGGATAGTGTAACCCAAGCGAAAACTAATAAAGAAACTATTGACAATAGAGCAAAGTGATGTACTACAGTTTTATAGAAGACGAAAAAGTCCAACAAAATATTATTTTTGCATTTAAAAGTCTATTTAAGGATGGAGGTTCTATGTCCAACTGACAATGCAAGCATATTTATTTTTATTTAATAAATGCACAAAACAGAAGAACAAATAAAACAATAACTAACCTTAAAATATAATAACTAAAATATATTATTAAAAGGAGTCCCTTTAGGCAAGGTCCCGAAGATACTGGCAGCGTTCCCCCTTTGAATAGCTAGACTAATTCTTTGTCCGAGGTAGCTACCAGATCTTCGGTCTCCTGTGATGTCGACTAACCTTTTTGCTATTTCCTGAAAAAGCCTTATAGCGCTAGAACCCCACGGACCAAGGGTCTCGACACCGAATGGGACAAAATCATATTCGGAACCTAGACCTCTCTATTTGCCGGCAAAAGCTTTTTCGGCCGCATCACAAGCCGCACCAGCTCTGTTGTTGTTTCCATGTAGATGGGAAGGGGCAAGTGTGTCTGAACAGAATGCATCCCATACCAGCATATTATGGTTCCTAAATGTTACATTGTATCTTACCTACTGTTCAAAGTTATTTTTTTCATATAAACGAAACTTCAATGTGCATATTTAAGTTTTGGAAACTATATGCTATTATTATTATTATCAAATTGATAAATATGTACGATAAATATATCTTATTTCTTCATTATCCTAAAACCTTACTTGTTTTAATTTTTTAATAATTTTTAAGTTGCCAAAATTAGTTAAAACTGCGGAGCTGTGTTCATTTTTGTGGCTTTATTGTCCTAGCCCGTAATAACTCGACTATCGGTTCTTTTGCTTACAAATTGGGATTCCTTTATCACGAAAATGCCTCAATATCGCAAGATATGAATAAAATAATTTGAATAATACAACATAATTGCAGCAAAAGACATCACGCGATAATAGCAGACTACACGCAATAGCGTTCAAGTAAGAATTGTTATGTAATTACTAACACTAGTCTGAAATAAACTTTTTTCTTTTTCTAACACAGCCTTGCGATTCTGTAACTCACTTTTCGAACTCACACAGCGGTTTTCGCATCGGCGGTCGCTCTCAAATCAGTCGTGAAGCAGTCATTTTATGATTTGGCATTCTGATAAACAATAAACTACAAGCTCCCACCTTTTCAGAATGCCAAATCATAAAATGACTGATTCACGACTGATTTGAGATCGACCGCCGATGCGAAAACCGCTGTGTGAGTTCGAGAAGGTGAGTTACAGAATCACAGGGCAGATATTTCATCTTTACATTTAACGTCCAAATATGTTAGTCCCTTGAGTGTCGTTTTATACTCTTTACACTGTACTTAAATTGATTTTACTTGTGTAGTATATATGCTATTCAAGAATATTGTTTTAGTATAATTATAACCTGTATTTGTTTTAACCAGAAACAAAAATAAAACTTAGCTTTTTGTTTACCTTTTGATCAATCAACAAGTTTTATCTCTTGTTTAACCTAAATTGCATTTTAATAGTGACAATTTTAAACACATTTAAAAGTTCTTTAACGGATATAAACGTGACTTTTATTTACAACTTTTTGAGAGATCGCCAGAAATGCTACTGTCAGGCACCAAAGGTTGATCCAACTTAAAGAGTCAACTTAAATAATCAAAGGTTCGGGTGACTTCAATAAATAGTTTATCAAATTAATTATTATTTTTGAATATCATCGACAATACAGCAACACAATTTACGTATAAAACGAAAACAATCACTTAAAATAACCAAAAAGTGAATCAATAGATTACAGAGCGCCTTCCCAATCTGTGCATCTCTGTCACAAGTTAATCCTTTATAACATTGGAGTAGGAATTCGACGCACGCACAACAGCAAACACAACAGTGCGTGCCTTTAAAACTTCGCTGATTTTTCGCTTTCACTGGTTCCTTGGCACAGGATGGAGGCTTTTTATTCGTCTTTGATAGCAAGTGGAATTGTATTCCCTGGACACAAACGATTAATTTATTATTTTAATGACTTCTAATAATTAAGTATATTATTATATTGTTGAGTATTAATATTTTATTCCAATTAAATAACACAGATCCATTTTAAGTAAGAACAACTTCAAAACTCATTTACCAACATTAACAATAAATAAACATAATTTAAATAAAAGTGCGTGCGTACAAAGTACGGACACATGACAGAAGTGAAACTTCTTTGGCAAACTAATTTTTAAGTCTTGTTCATATTTATACAAATCTAAAACTTTAGATTTCGGAGACTTAGAAGGAGGGAAAAAGGAAGATATGTTAGGAATTTTATGGATAATAAAAACACGTTTTAATAATACAATAATTACTAATATTTCATAAATTTTCATTACGAAATTTTAATTTTAAAAATAGATGGGAAAGTGATTCACCCTTCTCACTCTCTCTCAATCGGTCTCAATCGCTCTCTCCCTTTTCTCGACAAAAACTCTGCACATCTTCATGACGCTAATATTATTATTGCGTTTCATCCGAAATTTGTACCCTCTTGCGCCTAAAGAAGTTTCACTTCAATAAATAAACAGCCGACGCGTACTCGTCTCCCAAAGCCGACAAGCGTACACACAAACTGCCTAACAAATAACAATTTGCGACTGATTACAGTCATCTAAAGTACTAAGGATTCTATTCCTACTGCCTCGCAATCTGTGATACCGGTCTTATCCGAAGATTTTGTTGTATTGTTCGGGATGAACATACGTATCGCGCGCAGCCACGCATCGATATTAAATTATAAGTTTTATTTTAATTAAAATATTTACGGTCTTACTAATAAAAAATCACTATGCATGAGTTATAACAAGGTGATAGTTATTCAGTGAATAGAGCTTGTACAGGGCATAAACACCTCTTTGACCAATAATCGATGTGTATTGGTTGAATAACTAAACGACCCTTATTTATTGTTACCCTGGCAACCCGCCGTGTTTGATTGACGTTTGACTTAATAATTCTGATAGAAGTCATAATTCTAATGTAAGTTGTATTTATTTTAGCAACCAAAACAATTATATTCAGACAAAGAGGACTAGAATTTTACATAAAAAGCCACTTTCTGCAGTACAAAAGTTGGGAGAGGTTAGTATCAATGTGATAGAGAAAAGGACTATTTCATTCAAAAGCCCTCAACGATCATACTTAAATTTTTTAGGCATCTCAAATAGTGGAAAGTGCCAAACTCCGCAACACGGCAGTGTTCCAGTGTTTGCAGGAAGAGCATGAAACCAAACTAAGGCAAATGGCTGAAACACATGAGCTCAAACAGAAGCAACTTGCCGAAGCTCACAAATGGTCTAGACAGGAGCATCTTCTAAGGCTCAAACTATTACAGCAGCAATTAAATGAATAATTATATACTTATAAAAAAAATATAACCCCTGTTTTAAATGAAATATAACTTTTTATTTATTTCACGTCTAACTATCCACACCTATGTAAATAAAACAGCTTTAAAAATATGTTTCAATAACAGCAGCTCTAGCAGCTTGTCCAGCCTGATTGCTTGGGGGCGTCTAGGTTGGCCTTGGTTCTTCTGGAGCATTCTCAGTGTCATCATACGTAACATCCAGGTCTTCTTTCATATCAATAGCAATATTGTGGAGGATTGCCAGTGCTACTATATATAATTTGGCATTTTCTAAAGACACTGAGAAGCCATGAAGAAGACACCTAAATCGAAAACCATCCACCTCTATTACTCTTTTCGACATCAGCTCGCAC